TCTCTGTCTCCTTTCTCATCTGATAATTTGTTTAGCCATTTCTGCAAAGAGAATTTTAAAATAAAATAAAATATTCTCTATAGTTACCTCCTCTTTTACTAAGAGAAAAAATGTCCAAGAAAAAAATGCTCTATACACATCACAGATTAATTGCAATTTGGGTTGCTAGTGACTGAAGCCATGACCTGTGTGAGGCTTTCATGCCTCAATGTTAAAAATAAAAATGAAGCCAATTCCAGTGAATTAAGGTCCACACAGACAATTGCTGTTTCTGCTGGTTCTTCTGGTACCAAGTCTAAGAATAGAAAAGAAATTGGCAACACAATAGAACCATCTTTGGCTGCCATTTTTCCCTTCCACATTAGCTGAGGCATGTGTGTGATAGAAGGAGGTGGGAGGTGCTTCTTCTTACTTTCCCTCAGTAAAAGAGCTTAGTTCCTTCAAGCACTGTTGGAACATACATTAAAGATAATATATTTTAAATTAATTTAAAAGGTAAAGGGTTTTAATGCCTTTTAATATAATTAAAAATTTATTAAAATGCTTTCAGATACTGCAATACAATGATTTATTTATCACTTCAAGCCTGTATCATGAGTATAACTTCCTTTCCAAGTATATTGATCTTTTTATGCATTTTGAAAGTAAGAAAAGAACTAACACAGTCTACCAAAATTCTTCTTCACCATTCTTATTAAACAGACCAGGTCCGTTATGTCAATAGAGACTATTTCAAAACAGTAGAATTAACCAACTAGATATGTTTTACAAAGTAACAAAGGACAGGTCATATTTTTCTAAGCTATGCTTTGCTGAGTTAAAATATGAAATGTCAAACATTCATAATGAAATATTCAGAATTAAGTACACCAAGTCACTGAAATGCCTGAAATATTAAAATGGATCATTAACCTTATTGGAGTCTTTGTACAACATAAGAACTTCTGTAGTCATTGTTAACATAAAAAACTTAAAAGGTTGTATTTCTTTTTATATTTAGAGCTCAAATAAAGTTTATTTAAAAATTAAAGCACTTTTAGTAAGACATTTCAGCATTGTATAAGTTAAACATGAAGCAAAAATCATTTTGTTACTTTTTTTCATGTTTTCCTATTAAGAACTTTCTTAGACCTTAGGTGTTTAATCAAACTCAGAATAAATGTTTCAGCAAAATATTTCATTTGAATTTCTGGGATGTTTATCTTTTGCAGTGGTTCTTATTCTGAGTACTACATGAAATGAAAACAATTATATGTATTTTTTTCCTAGCTTGTGATACAAGACGTCTTACACTTTGGTGTGTGATTCTTATACTCAGGATTATCTCACTTCAAATGAGGATTCTATTTCAGAGCACTGTTTGAATGCAGACTATCATCTGGAGATCAAAACGTGGCTGATTGTCAGTTATGCATCCTGGTGTTAGCTCCCTTGTTATTTTCCACGGAATAAAAGGCCACATGAAGAAGTGTTTCTGCTACTAGCATTCGACTTGTCTGCAGCAACCCTTACATGTGTGATGGGAGAGGGAAAGCAGCATAGAGCATAAGGTGAAACCCATAGGAGACCCCGATCACTGTGGTCAGTAGACAGAGGCGCAGCAGTGTTGCTGTTAGGAATAGACCTTGGTTTGCAGGAACAAGTATAAAGGACACATGGACAAGAACAAGGTGGGGTGGAAACAGGGGGGAGCTGCAGAAGGCTGGGGTGGGTGGGCTGGGATGGGGGTAAAAGGCAGAAAACCATGTCTGAACAACAGCTAAAAAAAAAAAAAAAAGAAAAGCATGTAACTTGGAGTCCAGCTACTTGGATTTAAGTCTCAGTTTTGCTGTAAGATGTGGGAAGTTACTTAACATCTTTGCACTTCAGTTTTACTGTCCTCAACTGTAAAAAAAGTTTGCTAAAGGTTTAAGTAACCGTGTGCTAGTATACATTAGAATTAGCTCTTTTTAACTAATGAAAGACCAAAGGAATGACTGGTAACATTTTTTTGCTCTGTGTTTTGTAGAGTTGAAATATGAAATATCAAATATTTATAATAAAATATTCAAAGTTAAGTACACCGAGTCACTAAAATATCTGAAATATTGAAGTGGGTTGTCAACCTTATTGGGGTCTTTAAATAACATGGGAATTTCTGTATGCATTGTTAACATGAAAAATTTTTTAAAGTTATATTTCTCTTTAGATTCATATATATGTATTACCTTAAGACATATTACTTAACATTATATACCTCTACTTAAGATATACCTGATATATAATCATTTAAGATATACATGGATATATAAATATATTTAGTTAAGATTTTATATATAGCCCTGGCTCGTATAGCTCAGTGGATTGAGCGTGGGCCTACGGACCAAACAACTGAGGTTTGATTCCCATTCAGGGCACATGCCTGGGTTGCAGGCCAGTTCCCAGCAGGGGGCGCATGAGAGGCAACCATACATTGATGTTTCTCTCCCTCTCTCCTTCTCTTCCCCTCTAAAGACAAATAAGTAAAATCTTTAAAAAAAGATTTTATATATTATAGATCAGTTCTCAGAAAGTGGTGCTACCTATGTATTACCTATTATTATATTACCTTATCATTTCTATACCTGAACTACTAATGGGTAACTAAATTGATCTGATGGTTCTTTTTCTGCTTTGTCTTTGAAGGTTCAAAGTTATAGCCAAACATCACTTGTAAGAAGTTGAGTAAGCCAGAATGATAAACCGAAAACAGACAGGGTAATCACTCCCTGGGTATACGTTTATCAAGCTCTCTGTAGAACTTGCAGAGGGACTGAACCGGCTTTTCTGTACAGTGATATTCTAGAGCTTGGCAGGATGAAAGCCATCATAACAACTGCCTCTCACAGCCTATTACTAAAACAATGGCCTTCCAAATAAATATAATCCCATATGAATCAAAACACTAGAATGTGAGCTTCATAAGGACAGAGGTTTTTGTCTGTATTGGGTCACTACTGTATCAGCAGAGTATAGGCAAGTGCCTAGCGAATGGGTGCTGAGTAACTATTTCTTGAATGAATTGAGTGAATGAAAACCTTGACCTTCCCTTTAAATAATATTATCTCTCAAAGTAAAACAGACCAGCAAAAAGTAGCAGGCTTTTCCACTTCCTGACAGATTTCCAACCCTGAGGATGCTGGTGAGCAGGGCTGAAGAGCAGCAGTGAAGGACAGGGTGCAGACAGACGTGTGGAGCAAACATTTCAGAAGTCGGGGCTCTGGGTACATATTCACAGGGATGTGTGGTGTGGAGTGGTGCTGTGCTTGACTCAGATTCATGCCCACGTGTCACAGCAAAATTACAAATATTCTGTTCAGCATCTGCCTAACCTTAGTGTCTATACTTACACTTGTTTCTCCCCATGGCTTATAGGAATCTCTTACCCCATGACCAAGTATCATGAAGTAACTCTTTTACTCTCTGAAAACATTTTAGCTGACTATTAACAGTTTGTACCCAGGTCTGACTGAGTAAAAAAAATCAGTTTGACATGATCCATTTCACAGGTGGGGTTGATTATATAGCATTACTTATAATTTAGCTCACAACCTCAGGGAGTGGATTAAAATAATATAGTATTCACACAATTACATCTGACTTAACTCTAAAGACATATTTATTTCTATTGCCATAGCAAATATATATTTTTTTTTAGAAAAAAATGAAGTTCCTTTTTATGGCATGGGTAAGCGAGCAATTTGAATAGGAAACTATTCATTTGCACAGGTTGTAAGTTTTCCTAATTAGCTTTATAATGAAAACTGCTGAGCAATACTCAATTCTACTTGTCTTTTAAAAAATATCATAAAAACAGCAAACAATTTTAAAGTATATTATTAATTAATTAGACATAATTTTTTAGAATGGTTTGCATAATCTCATTTAACTTTGGAGCTCTGAGACATTAATAATGAGTCACTAAAGGGCTACCAATGATTTATAATTTGAATTACACATCAGGCTTGGCCCAAGAACTCTCTGTGGGCCCCAAAAGAAACATGTTTATAAGTGAGCCATGGCAGAAATACACAAAATACACATATTTTGTATTCACAGAAAACAATTAGGCCTAAGGCAATTAGAGTGAACATTCAAGTTCCTTTTATTCCAAGGAACTGTTTTTACTCTTGAAGCTCCGTGTAGGGTTAAGACACCACTAACAGTATAATCTGGCTTGGCCCTTGGACATGTAAGGCAAACATTTTACGTTATTACACAGTATGAACATTTACAGCCGTGGATAACATAGCATCTGATCAAGTTAACACTTGGCATTTAAGGCTAACCCACACTGGAAAGCGATCCTCTCTGAGACGGAGATCAAATACGTAACACAGTGTCACCTGTCGGAACTGCTAGAAAAGATTTATGTAAAAATCGTTTTTATATTTGTCGGTTTCTTTTCACTTTGTGTGCTAGAGGGAGGCACTTTAAGAATTATTAACTGCAGTTTCAGGAGTACAAGACACTGAGTGTCAGCAGTTATTTATAAATATGGCAGGGGATTAAAGTGGAATGGGATTAAAAAGCAAGTGAACACACCATTAAACAAGAAAATTTCAATATATCTTCTAAAAGTCACTGGTCTCTGATTTGAAGAATTTCCTCCGGGGGGGGGGGCGAGATGAAATAGCAGCTATCACCGCGCCCCCTACCCCTGCCCTCAGCTCCATGCCCAAATGAGTGAATCCCGCAACTTCAGGACGTTAAGATAGAATAGCTTTGCTTCTGTTTGGGCTTGTAAGGTTTTTAAAATATTGACGAGTTAGTACTTTGAGTTGTGTTTCCAGTAATATTTCAAATAGTAAATTATGTATAGGTTCCAAATAGAAAAACTAAAATATCGAATGAAATACGTATGTTGGAAGAGTTTAGTAAAACGTATAAAAATTAAAATGCTTAAAAAAAAAACCCCACTCCGTTTTAAAAGTGTAAAAATAAATTACACCGTCTGGTGGGAATCCAGAGTTTTGCTTTGCTTCTTTTTTAGTCAACTGGTATGTACTGCACGCGCCACAACACGCTGGAAAGCAGGTCCTGGTACACACTAAGGAATATCCAACCAGGTAGATACATCAGGGTGATGAGGCCCATGAAATTGAGCGGGTAGTGAGAATAGTCCCAGGAACAAGCACCGCAGGCGCGGAGCCCCAGACCCCAGGACAGCTCCCACAGGTAGATGAAGATCACGTACATGGGCACCCGCTTCCAGGTGCTCCAGCCTCGACTGTAGTGAAGGTGGAAATAGAGCTTTTCCACCATGAAACTGCAGCTGCCATAGATGAAGAATGACCAGAGCGACGTGTGACCACTGGTTGCCCTGTCCCTCTGCCCCAGCACGTTAAAGAAGAAGGTGAAGAAAATCTCATCCAAAAAGCCGTGCATTCCGTAAAAAAGAAAGCGGAGCAGGTCCGGCAGCCCCTTGCTGGGGGCTGCTCCGGAGCCCGTGGGGCCACTGGCTCTTCGCCGCCCACCACCTGCCGCCGCAGGGGCTCCAGTGCGAGGAGTGGCGAGGGACGCGCCCCGTGGCTGCTGCCGCAGCTGCCGTCGGTACCGCAAGCGTAGGAAGCGCTTCAGGAACACTTGCGAGTGGTAGAGCGCCAGCACATACTGCAACGCCAGGTCCAGCGCCCCCGGCGCCGCCGCGCCCCGCAGCCCGCCGCCCGGGCCGAGCAGCGGCGTCTGGCCCGCCAGGACCTGCAGAACCACGTGCGCCGAGGGGTAGAGAAGAAAATTGAAGACGAAGGCGCTGGGGCAGTGCCGCCGTTGCAGGTACACCTTCTCCAGGGCGAAGTGGGTGAGCAAGTGCAAGAGGCAGCGGAAGGGCGAGGAGAAGCCCAGCATCCGAAAGTCGGGGCTGCGGGCGAAGCGCCGCGCGGAGGACAGGAGCACGTCCAGGGTGATGCCGTGCATGCCGTAGAAGTACAGGCGCATCCAAGCCGGCAGCTCCGCGCCCTTGGCCGGAGCTTCAGCAGCGGACAGCGGCGCGGGGCGGTCAGCCGCAGCCTCGCCTCGCCGCCCGCTGGAGGCCGCGGACGCACCGCCTCCGCGCGCCAGAGCCTCGCGGTCCGCGTCGCTGCCCGCCATGGGCTCCGAGGCTGCCGCGCCGCGCGGAGCTGCGGAGCCGGAGGGTCGGGCCCTGCGCCGCCTCCCCGCCGCTGCCGGCCCCCGGGGGGCCCGCGGGGAGCTCCGTCCCGGCCGCGGCCCGGCGGCAGCCGCGGCTGGTGCCCTCCCGGAAGGCGCGAGCCGCCTGGCTCTCGGAGTCCCCCCCGCCGCGGCCCCGCCGCGCGCTCCCCTCCGGTCCGGGACGAGGTGCCACTGGCCGGCGCCCGCGCTCACCCGGCGCGGCCTAACAGGCGCCAAGGCCCGGCGAGGGGCGGCGGCACCAGGGCTGCGAGGCGAAATGCCGAGGCTGGTACGAACCCCATCTTCTCGGCGGCTCGGCTCCGCCGCCTCTGCCGCAGGCTCTGGACGCGTAACGCGAGCAGCGACGCCCCTTCTGCCGGCCCCTCTCCGCTGGTCTCCATCTCTCCCGCCTTCTCAGCCGTCCTTCCCCGCCCCAGCCTTCCGCTGCCAGCCCCTCGGGGGTCCGCTGGAGAGGGCCGGGCCCTGGTTCTCTACCTCCTTCCTCCGCTCTGCAACTGGATCTCCGGCGGTGCGGGAGGCGTTCGCTGGGGCCGAGGCACAGAGGGGACACACACTGCCCAGGTGTAACTGCTAGCTGAACGGGGTGTTCCCTGTGTCCCCAAAACCAGAGCCAGGAGCCTGGCTGGTGAAGACCAGTGGCCAAGTGCCACAGACCAGGGTCCGGGCCCGAGACCAAACTATCAGTGCTGTGTATTTAATGTCTTTATTCAAAGCCAGCTGTGTCCCAGTCACGGAACATAAACAGGAGACTCCAAGCCTGTTTACCCCAGTGTTCCCCTCATCTGAAATATTGCCGGAGGGTCCTGATCCACTTCGTCAAACCTCTCTGCAGAGCCAGTTTGCTTTCTTCGGTTAGTATACTCCCGGCCAAGGATAGAGATCAAAGTCTCTCAGAGTTAACGCAGTGATTTGAAGCTAGCTGGCTCAGACTCTGTCCGCGCTGCGGTGCTACGGCAGTGCAAGAACAGTACCTCTGCGCAGCCTGGCACACCCAGGGCGCCTTCCTTCTTGCAGAACTAGGTCACCCCAGAAAGAAGGAGTGAGAAAGAGGGTGAGGAGTATATTTTCGAGTTGGGTGGGGGGCAGGACGCGAAATCCAGAATTTTGGTGTATTGGGCTCCACTTTTTTTTCCTCCAATATTAAATTCAGGCTTAAAATCGGCAAGGAGTTCAGTTATTCTGATTAACCCGCTCCTCCGCCCCCAAATCTAAGTCAGGTCTACACAGAAACTAGATAATAGTTCTAATCTGTTCTTAGATAAGCAGATCAGACGTTCCTTTGGTAGATGGCTAAGAAAATTACTTTATTCTGGAGAATAAATTTTCTGACAGTTTCTGTATTTCTACAGTAACATTCTCCAGTTATTTATTTCAACCCCTTATGTTCGATCTGTGGTTGCTGTTTTGTCTGTAAAGTAGATAAGAGAAAGAAATAAGTATGGTGAGAAGAAAAATTGTTAAGGATCAACACTTTTTATAAGGTAAAAGTATTAAAAAAATTTTTTTTCATAGCATTGTTAGTGTGTGGCTTATTTGAAGACTGCTTTTGGCAGTGGTCAGAAGGCAGTGGGCGGGTGTTATCATATCAGGGGCAGAAGCCTCAGGTAGCAGGCTCACCAAACTTGCTGCAAAACAAAGACAGGTTAGTTGCCCCAGTGCCTGAGCAAGTACAGTGAAGAGAAATAATAACGCAAAAATTTTCTTGAGCACCTACTATATACAAAATGCTGTATGCACTGGTAAAATACGTGGCCATAAGATTTACTCTCTAAAGTACATAACTAGGTGATATCATAATCATACCTCTTGTAAAACCCACTATGATTATTATTAACTATGATCAGCTAGTAGTACATACCAAATAAAACAGTTCTTTAGACAATGTTTTATTCTAGACAATAAACTCAATCTTGGGCCTGATTTATCACGTATTAAGAACAAATGTACTCTTTTCTCTACAATTGCTTTTCAGTCGAGGGAAAGCACTTTGTGATAACAGCATAAATACAGCCGTTCCAATGTGTATACATTATTAACTTGCAAGATGAAACTTGAATTGTTTTCAAGTAGTAAATTAAACTTCAGGGGCCTAAGTCTTCTAATTATTCTAATTTTTCTTTAAAAATGCAAGGAAAATTTAATCTAAACTAAGTTTAAACTAAATCTATTATCCAGTCTAGTTCTTCTCAGGGGGACTTCTTAAAAGGACCTCAGGAAGAACAAAGCTGTCCAAGTAACGTGTCTGTAGAGATGCAGCAGTTTGCATGGTGGCAGCATTGACCTTATTGGACCAGCCAGTTTGGTTCCATATGAACTGTTGCAACCAGAGTAGCCAATGTGACCAGGGAGAGATTTGAGAATTAGAATGATCCTTTGGAGGATTGTGATTATCTATAGCCTAGTGTCCCTAGGTTCAAGGTTGTAGTCTTTTATTTATTTATTTTAAAAATATTTTATTCATTTATTTTTAGAGAGAGAGGAAGGGGAGAGAAACAGAGAGATGGAAATGTTGATGTGAGAGAGAAACATTATTGGTCACCTCTTGCACTTGCCGTGATGGGGGGTGGGGGGGAGCACACCCAACACCCAGGCATGTGCCCTGACTACGAATGGACTTGGCAACCTTTGGCTTGGCAGTATGACGCCCAACCAACTGAGCCACACCAGTGAGGGATCAAGGTTATAGTCTTTTTGATGCATGGAATGTAGGACCTTTCCTTACCACACCGGAAGAACAAACAAGGTGCATGGAGAACACAGCATACAGAAGAAAACTAACAAGAAGTTCAATGGGTGAGGCATGAATGTAATGATAGAAAAGCTATAAAAGAGAGAAATGATATTAGCAGGAGATATACAAACCTCGCTCATTATGGATCAAATTGCAAGCCCACACACAGACACACACACACTCAAATCTCTTACATACAATAATCACCTAACTAAGAAGGAGGGCACCCATCCAAGAATGCTGGCTTCCTAAAGCTGAGTCTGTTACTTCCCATTGGAAAGGAACTCTCTAACTTGACAAAGTTTGAATAGCTTCTTGCGAGGGGTGGGCAATGTTACACTATTTGTGAGGTTTTTGTATTCTTGCTTTTTTTTTTTTGATGGGCCTTTCACTATTCAGGCTTGATTAGAATTGGGTAATGAATTATGATACAATAGTTTAGGATTAGTGGGTGTTGCCAGGCAAGGGTTTTGAGGTTAGGGTTTCAAAAAGTATTGGAAATAAACAGTAAACTTTTATCTTCCTGGGCCAGAGTTTGCTGGAATAGTGAAGTTGTGCTGATGAAGACAGTGAAATAGTAAAGTCACATTAACAAAGATGACCAAATAAAAAAGGGGTGACCATGTAGATGGTAAATTGTGGGGGCGAATGGTCTTGGGTTTGCATAATCTGATGGTGAGGACCAGTTTGGAATCCAAGAGGGGAACTGTTAGAGTAAGGAAGGACAAGTGAAGATAATGAGAAAGCAAGACTGACACTGAGTTTTGCTAAAACGATGTGCTTCCCCAGTGGGTGTGGAAGGCAGGGGAAAGGAGGGAGGTTGATTGACCGTTCAAAGGTATAAAATATTTGCATGCATAGATCTGTAGTTTCTTATACCTTATGTAACTTTTTCTGAATTTTTTTGCCGTAAAGTTTCAAATTAAACAATTCTTCCTATGTGCTGCTTAAACAACAAGGTCAGCAAATGGACAGGCAGAAGGTGACTGTTAATGCTCGTTGCCTGATGTGGAACGATCATTGAATAGGAGCGTGCAGACTTCAATACGACCCTGTTAGAGGATCATCTTGGAAATCTGCCTGTTGTTCCTATTGTATGATTTTGCAAGACTCTTTTTAACTATACTCTTTTAACTCTTCTCTTTTTTTTAAAGATTTTATTTATTTATCTTTAGAGGGGAAGGAGAGATGGAAAGAAACATCAATGTATGGTTGCCTTTTGTGCATCCCCTGCTGGGAACTGGCCTGCAGGGAACCGGCCTGCAACCCAGGCATGTGCCCTGACCGGGAATCAAACCGCGATCGTGTGGTTCGCAGGCCCGCGCTCAATCCACTGAGCTACACCAGCCAGGGCTTAACTCTTCTTTCTAATAATCTGATTAATGGGGAGTCGCACCAATATCAGGAAAGTTTCTTTTGGTACCTCTTTCTGGTGTTTTGTTTTGTTTTTATGTGCTTTTATATTATTAATTTTAATGTCAAGTGCTTTATTCAGTTCTTGGAATTTCTTGGAGCTCTTAATTTTCAGTAGGAATTATTGCCTGGGCTGAAGCATTGTTTCTATGATTTCACTGAGTGGGGCTCCTAAAGAACAGACTCTGAGTAAATTCTTTTAATTCATAAAACATAAAAAGTGTAACAAGTTGTTTTGGAAATGCTTGCTTAAAAATAACACTTCACCTTGAGCAGTATTCAAATCTTTGCCTGACTCATCATGAGTCCTCCAGGGAAATTATTGTATTTTTCCTCCCCAGTCGATTCCATTCTGTTTTCAAAGTGAGCAGCTTATTTTGAATAATGACAGCCCAAGTACATTGGTTAAAAGTTTGCTGGTAACTTAGAGACTTTGTGAAGAGAGATGATCTCAGTTCATGGATATTACTTATTGAGCACCTACTTATCAGCTGTGCACTTCAAATATATTATTAGTCTTTAATGTAACTGTCCCCTTATTTTTTTTAAACAGATACTGAAACTGAGGCTCCGACGAGTTGCTTGCTCAAGGTCTCAGCAGATGAATAAAAGGACAACTTATGGAGCAATTTTTACCTGATGCCAAAATTCATTTGTGTTACACTGTCACCTCCTATATTCTCATTTTAAAGCTATTTTAAATGAGTCATAAATAATAAGAAGATTTATTAAGAAGAGAGATCAATTCCATTTATAGTTCTAGGGAGTATCAGTCCCTAAACCCTTCCCAGTCACTTCTGCTCTTTTTTATCATACATTTTATTTTAATCATCAATCTATACAGTCACATTCCTTTTTTTCCTGTACACTTATTTTTATCCCACCTTTCCTCTTGGGTTTCTTTATATATTAGAAAATGGCTATTTACTTATATAAATGTGGCTATATGAAAGGACTAACATCTGGTGTGAGAATAGATTAGGTTTAGATAACAGGAGAAAATATAGGCAAAGTATGCCTGGAGACTGTCAGTACACGTTTCTGTATATGGAAGTTAGGCAAGACCGCACCTTGTTCCAGTTGTGAAAATCCATATTCATAGTTGCCATGACCTGGAAACCTTGGCTTGGCTCCATGCAGTGACTTAACAAGTAGATTTGTGTATGTTTGTTTATTTGACCATGTCCGCTTGTACCCGGTGGATCTTCAAAACCTATGTGCATATTATATTTTAATATTTTCAACAGAAAAAATATGTCACTAAACAGGATTCTTTGCTAGCATGGATGCTTTGTGGAAAAAACTATCCAAGTTTTCAAAGTGTACTTAGGCAATGAGGTGTGTTGGGAGGTGGATGAAGGCAGCTGCACCAACATGTCAGTCAAACACCAGTTATGGAATGGAAATCAAGTCTCATGAGTGCTTGAGCCCCATCCTGCTGCTTACATTTATTGAGCACTTACTGCATTTTAGGTATTCTGCTGTGAAGTGAAGATGCAAAACCGAGCACCACATGGATCTTATCCTTACTGAGATCATAGTTTAGGGTCCAGCTAATTTTTAATCATTGTGAGCAAGATGGCAAATTCTAGACAGAAAGAGATACGTACAGCATAGTAGACGTGGAGCTCTGTAAGGATCCTGTTCATTCCAGCCTGTGTGCACTGCCAGGTCCCTCCCACACAACTAAGAAGCCAACCAGTGATTTCTCTGCTGTGCAGAGAAGGACAGAGAATGATTGTTTGGGCACTTTTATCCAAGTTTCTTTTCTTCTGATCAAGGGATAGGTAAATAGCTAAGTGGTAAGTAGGGAGGAGTGGGTTTTGGAGATGGGCATTTAAGTGGTTTTAAATCTTTTGTCATGGTAAAAATATACTGCAGTATAAAAGCTTTGAATATATGTCCTTTTATTTATGTAGGAGTATATGTGTGAAGAATAAGTTCCAATAGGCAAAGCTGTTAGGAAAAAGGATGCGTACATTTCTAATTTTGACATTCAGGGCAGGGAAAAAAGCGCTTTACAGTTGTGAGTGTGGGAAACGCAGACTTAATCCTTATATTATTTATTGATTACTGTATTATTTTCCATCCAAACAATTGTAAACCTACTTTTGACCCCACCCTGTATATTGCCAAATTATTCTAAGAAATTATCCAAATTTGCACTCCCACTAGCAATCATGAAAGGGTCTATTTCCATACAATCATGCCAGTGAAGACTTGTGACCCTTTTTGGTACATGCCAGTTTGATATGTGAAAGCAGTATCTCGTTGCAGTTTAATTTCCACTGATCGTGTTATGGATGCACTAGGGGTACACGTGAAATATAGGAGAACAAAAGGACGTCTTTTGTTTTCTGTGAACTACCTGTGAATATCCCTTTCCATTGAATTAATGATTTTTTGTGTGTGTTTACTTATTAGCAGCAGTTTTTCTTTAATTAGGGAAATTCATTTTTTTTTGTGTGGTACAGCATACCTTGGATTTACATTTCATGGTCATACTACTGTATTGAACACATAAACAAAACATCATTTCTGATGATAGAATCTTCAGAACTGGAAAATCTTTTGCCTTATTTCTCTATTTCCATGTGGGATACTGCCTTTTGTTTCTTTCCCAATAAAGTTATTTCTTCCTTGTAATTAGGTTACAATGTTAATTAATTTCACCTTCCCTGTAGTGTTTCTTATTTCTGAAACATCTTCCAAATTCCACTGATAATAATTTTACTGATAAGAGTATTCCTTTTCTGAAAAAAAATTTAATTTTTACCCAAGTGGAGACTAATTAACTTCTAAACTTCTAAATTTTGCAATTGCACAGTAGCATAGTATATCTCCTTTGAATTAATCATTTCGGGCACCCAGATTTTTCTAGGTGTATGTGATAACAAGCTGTATCCCCTGTGCTCACTCCTTATGCCTAACCCACAGCAATTGCTGTGCTCTGAATTTACGCCTCCAGGATGGTGTACTCCTCCCTGTCTACTGGTACGGTGGGTCTCCCAGGAAGAAACTATTGCACCACTCTTTCCCATGCCCTTCTTGTCCACTGATGAATTTTAGTGGATTATGTTCAGCCAAATACAAATTCTGAAAACATAAAGAACAGACTGTAATTGACAAACCCTTTGTTTTCAAGTTATTTATGTGGCTTTTCAGAAATAACACAAAGCTCTCTTTGTTTTTGAAATACAGAAAGAACCTCTTAACACACCAAGTATTTAAATGTACTCAATATGATGGGTGGGCTAATGCGTGAATCCTAGCCGGGTACAAAGGAATTGCTATGAAAAACTCATTCTCAAGCCATACATGCTGCTAAATTTGCAAACACAAATAGCACTTTGGTTGAAGACTGTGGGGAATTAAAGAATGTTCAAAGATTTACAGTGGGAATAATTAAGGGGTTGGGAGACTCTTAAGAAAGGCATAAGCACTCATGGTTATTTAGCCTATAAAAAAGAAGTCTCTGGAGTACTTTAATAATGAGTTTCTGGGTCATAAAAAAACATGGAAAAGGTGATACCCAGGAGGGGTCTTTGCCTAAGGATATGGGAAAAGGAGCACATAAAACATGAGTAAAAATACAGGCTAGAAACAAGTTAACACTTGGATTGAATATGCTTACTTAAAAATGAAACTGCGCTTTTCTCTATACATATTATAGTTTAATAATAAAAAATATTGATTCTTATCTGTGGAAGATGACTTTGGAATGGTCAGAGAGTGAGAAGTGGTGTGTCCTCTGTCATCAGGTTGCTTGGACTAAATCCCAGCTCCTTTGCTTCCTGTTTGGACGACCATGGCAAACATCTCTCTTTGTTTCCCCTAATCTTAGTTCTCACTTCTAAAACCGGAATAATAATAGTGTCCACCAACCAGTGCTGTTATGAGAATTAGATGAGATAAGGTATGTGCCCTAGTTATGATTTGGTTTTGTTTTAAAAGGCTGAACATCTAAACATTAGTGGGCTATAAAAGAAGCAAATTGTTTTCTCTCAGGAATAATTCTCAGGAGACATCTGGGGCTGGAGTGATGCTCAAGGGTCCTGGTAACAAGGTCCCAGCTCGCCTGATCGCTCTATCCTGTATGATTCCATTCTTAAACACACATCTATCCTAACCATGCAGTGGTCTGAATTCAGTCCAACAATAAAAAATAAGGAAAGGGCTCTTTCTTGAGAATACTTTCTGGAAGTTATACTTCTATTCCCAGGCTGTTGCTTAGACCTTAGTTGAATGGTGATATATAGCCACAACAGATGTTGGGAAAATTCTTTAAATTACAATAGCTGTATCTTCAGAGAGAAAAGAAAAGAAAAGAAATGTCAGCTGGTGTGTACATTGGTGTCTGTTCGATTCATGCCCAAATGTGTCCCCCAAATAGGCATGACCAAAAGCAAAAATTTGACTCAAGTGAGCACCAAATTATTGCCATTCTGAATGATGGTCAGTCCTTTCTTTGATAATAAAAGTATTTTATTCTTTTATTTTTCATTCTTTGTTTTCATACATTACATTGCAGTTGTTACTATTATTATTGAGAATTCAGGTCTATCAATAATCAAACACCAAATGTACTCAGTTACCCATATAAAGTTTCATTTAATCCGCTCAATAACCTTGTAAAGACAGTGGTTTTCAATGATGATAATTTTGCCCCACAAGGGACGTTTGACAATGTCTGGAAAGAATTTTGATTTTCCAACCAAGGTTGTGCCAACTTCTAGGGAGCAGAGGGTAAGGATGCTGATAAACACCCTATAATGCACAGGACAACTTCTTAAAACAAAGACTTATCTGGTACAAAATGTCAATAGTCCTAAATTGAGAAACCCTGATATAAAGTTTTATGACCTCTGTATTATAGATGAAGAAAGTTCAGAGAGGTTAAGGAACTGACCAAGGTTATGGAGCCTGTAAATGACAGAACCAGACCTGGTATGTAAATATATCTAGTTCAAAGTTTAAGTTTTTCATTTCTAGGGAGGCAAAAAGAATTTCATTTCAGAGAAGGTGAAGAATGGTATATATACCAGAACCACAAAATCATTTTAAAGGATAATTAAATGAAAACACATCAGTGTCAAGTGGAGTGTTTAGTAAATCTTCTGACCTTGCTGTGATACCTGAAATTAATAATGTCTAGAGTACCTGATATAGAGAACTGAAACTATAATCATGTCAGGAAAGGGGGAATTATTTCCTCTTTTGTTTAATTACTTTCTGTTTTTGAAAATGTTGTCACTGCATACTAAAGCTTGAGAAAAGACATAGGCAATCAGAAAAAAACCTTTTTAGGTTTCTAGGAAAAGGGACCATTGAAAAATGATCTATCATGGATAATAGACATATTATAATGGAATGACATGATAATACTAAACTGCCTGAAATACTAAACAATTTTTCAAATGAGTTAATTGCAATTTAGGAAATATAAATATAGCATTTATTTAGCTTATTAAAAAAAGACCACCTGCTAATTAGGCTTATTAGAAACACTTTGCATTTTATTTGTTATTCAGCTAAATATAATATACTGAGGGATATATCTTATATACTTATAAATATATGTATTTCATGTAAGCACTTAATGGGAACTGAACCTAAATATTTTAGACTTTTGTTCATGAAAAGGAAAGAATATTTCCTCTGAACCATATTCATAGTATTTCCATAGTAGAAAGTGGCAGAATATGGCAATGAGGAAGGTAAGTCAGTTGTGACCTGTATGTTTTGGGAATTTGGGAGTCAGATTGAATACTAATTATTTCTAACTGTGGGGTGGGGTGTAGCTTTGAAGATGATGTGTTAAGACCCAGATGACTTCAATTTTCTGATCCACATACCATAGATCATTTTATGGTGTCCCTACTGAATATTTTAGAATGCATGATAACTAATTTTTCAGGGCATTTACCAACATCAATATTTTTTTTTAATTTATCTGTTTCCTCTGGAATGTAAGTTTCAGCATTCGTTGTCTAACTTTTGCAGTATTAGATATTGACTTAATGGATTCCGGAATGTACAGGAGTTTTCTTTTCAGGTACAGGTAATTTCACTCAAGGAGCTCTGCAGATAATGCAAAAGAACACCTAGATGGGGGAGAAAGTGGATGTTAAGTAATTTGTATATACAGAGAACCAGAAACTGAAAAAAGAGAACATTATACAAAAAATTTTAATTTGCTCTCTAGTAGTGTATTTAAAAATTACTTCAAAATAGAATATGAGCATGGTTAAAAATATAAAATGGTATTGAAGTGTGTGTTTACCTTACCACCTGATATCACTCTCTAGATGTTAATACTTTAATAACAACTTCAGGGTTTAATCATTCTGGTGTTAGCTTTATATTTACAAATAAATCACATACAGCTCTAGTTCTCGATTGATCAATCTCAATAATGTCTAAAGAGGGCTTGCTATGAGTGATAAGGGTTTCCTTCACACTACTCTCACGCCTGCCATCGCTCAGGTAACTTCCTAATGTAACAAGGGTGTGTAAAAGTAAATTTGTCAATGCTTTCAGATGGAAAAATTCTTTATCATTCCCTCCCACTTGATAAATGGTTTGGCTGGGTAGAGAACTTGAAGCTTAAAAAAGCTTCCCACAGAATCTCGAAGGCATTGCTCTACTATTTGAAGTTGATAATAAACAAAAAACAAGCAATGCTTCTGATTCTAATTTCTGTGTACACGATTTCCCTTTCTCAGCCCTCTTTGGAACATTTTAATATCTTTTAATCTTTGGAATTCTGAAGGTTCATAAATAATGTGCTCAGATGTGATTCCTCTTAAATTCATTCTATTGGTAGCAGGTAAACCATTCCAGATTGAAGACATGTGTCTTCTTTCTTCTCTGAAGAATTTTCCTAATTTAATTCTTTCATAATTCCCTGCCTTGTCTTAGAATTTCTAATAATTGGACTTCCTATGTTGATTCTCAATTTTGATGATCTTTTCTTTTATATTTTCCTCTTTGTGACTTTTGTTTTTAACCTCTTGGAGAGTTCTTGTGCTTTAATCTGTCAAGCTTTTAATTATCATTATTTTTTATTTGGCTAATCATTTAATTAATTTCCAAAGGAAATCTTATATTCTGATTGTTCTTTTTTAAAAACATTATGTTCTTTGTTTTTGCATACAATATTTTTCTACCTAAGGACACTAAAAGCTTGCTTCTGGCCATGACCAGTGTGGCTCACTTGATTGGGTGTTATCTTGCTAAATGAAAAATCAAAGTCAAAGCAAAAGGCATCTGGTTCAATTTGGGGCACTAAAAAAGGCAACCAGGCGATGTTTCTCACACTCTCATTCTTCTTCCTTCCCTCCCCTCTCGTTCTTCTTCCTTTCCCCTGGCTCTGAAAAAGAGTTTAAAATCTATTTAAAAAAAAGATTTTATTCATTTATTTTTAGAGAGAGGGTAAGGGAGAAAGAGGGAGAAAAACATCAATGTGTGGTTGCCACTCATGTACCCCCTACAAGGGACCGGGCCTGCAACTCAGGTCAGGTCCTTTGTTCCCTAACTGGGAATTGACCTGGCAACCCTTTGGTTTGCAGACTGGCACTCAGTCCAATGAGCTGCACCAGCCAGGGCTGAGAT